TTGTCATGGCATGAGGCACAGGTGGCAGTGGAGGGTGGCTGCCTGGATGGGGGCAGCAGTCAGACACTGGGCATATGACAGTGGCCACTGAAGGCCTTTGGACAGCACTGTGGCTACAGTGCTCCTTTCTTTGGGCAGTTCTCTGCATTGACGGCCACATCTCCCTTGGCATGGACAAGGGGATGGTACTTACTTTGAAACCAGACCACTCTGTTCCCCCAACCACTCCTGCCAACACCCCTTCTGACTTCATTTACATCCTTCTTATCAACCCCACAGAACAACACTCTACACAGAGGACTTAAACCTCAAGTACAGTTTGAGCTGACTTGACTCATCCTTCAGGACTCAGTTTCATGCCACCTCTTCTGGGCTGCCTTCGTGACCTGCCGTGGCCAGGTTAGGTGCTCTGGCTGTGGCTGCCTTGGCTCCACACACCCACTCTCTGAAACACTTTGCATGGCAGCCTTGAAACTGTTTGTTGAATCGTTTGTCTTCCTCCCAAACCAAAGGCTCTGCAAGGTCAGTGACCTCTTCTAGCCACTCAACCGTGGGAAGGGCTACCCACTGCGATCCCCCCACTTCGTTCTCCCCTGTGTTGCTACAGGAATTGGGTTCTGAGGCACAGGGGTCAGTTGCTCACCCTTGTGCTTGTCACAGGCACTCTGGCAGGCCAGGCCAGGCCAGCCAACCAGAGCCTTACTCACATGGGGCCCAGGCCGGCATCTTGGCCACCTGAATGGGGAGGATTTTAGAACCAAGAGCTGGTCAATGACACCGGGCAGTCAAGTCTCCGGGACCCTGGGGAGGTGACTCTTAAATACAGAAGAGGGGCTCAATTGCTGCCCTTGGCCTCTGGGGATGCCCTGGATGGAATGGGCTCACCCTGGTGGAGGAGAACACTGAGGTGTTGGGCTGCGCCTGGGTCTGAGGCTGACTGGAACACGCAGGTGCATCTGAGGATGGGCACATGCAGGCTTTGCATCCATCCCACGGCCCCTTGCTAAGGAGCTGTCCGAGACTGCTCGAGAGGGGCTCTACCTCTGCTCTGTTCCAATGATTTATTTGTCTGTCTTTATGACAATACCACACTGTCTTACAATTACTGCAGCTATATAGTAAATCTTTTTTTTTTGTCTTTTTTCGTGTCCGGCAACGGATCGCAACCCTCAGTGTCGCGCCCGTACCGGACCGGGACCGGCAACGGGATCGCAACCCTCAGTGCTGCGCCCGCACCTCGCTCAGCCAGTGAGTGGGAACCGGTCTGTATGTGGGATCCAAACCCTCGGTGGGAGCGCCCCCGCGCTCTCAAGCGGTGCACTGTAGCAGTGCGCCACCGGGCCGGCCCGCTATATAGTACATCTTAAAGTCAGGGAGTGTTGGTCCTCTGACTCTGTCTTTTTCAAAGTTGTTTTAGATAGTCTAGGTCTTTTGCATTTCCATATAAATTTTAGAATCATTTTGTCAATATGTACAAAAACACCTGCTGGGATTTTGATTGGGTTTATGTTGAATCTGTAGATGAATTCAGCAAGAATTGACATCTTAACAGTGTTGAGCCTTCTGACCCATATACCTGCGATATGTCCCCTTTAATTTCAACAGTATTTTTAAAAAATTTCTTTAAATTTTTATATTTTACTTTATTTTTAATTGAAAATAACTGATTGTACATATCTGTGGGGTTCTGTGTTGAATATCAATACCTTTGTGCAATATGTGATGCTCAAATTAGAATAATTAGTATATTTGCCATTACACAATGTAATCATCTTTTGTGGCCCTTTACCAATTTCTCTCAATAGTGTTTTGCAATTTTCAAATCTTTTGTTAGATTTATCCCCAAGTGTTTCATATTTCATAATGCCATTTTTAAAAGTTTAGTTTATAATTTTTTTATTGTTAGTATATAGAAATTGTTTTTTTGTATATCACTTTTGTGACTTGCAAACTTGTTAGTTCTAGTCTTACTTTAAAAAACGATTTCCATTAGATTTTCTACGTAGATGATCGTGGCATTTGTGAACAAAGATAGTTTTGCTTACTCAATTCCAATCTGAGTACCTTTTATTTCTTTTTCTTGCCTTCTTGCACTGACTGGGTCCTCCCGTGCAATGCTGCATAGAAGTGGTGAACAAGCAACACCCTTGCTTGTTCCTGATCTTAGTCTTTCACCATCAAGGAGGATGTTTTTGAGGGTTTTTTGCCAGTGCCCTTTATCAGGTTGAAGAAGCTCCCTTCTATTCACAATTCTCTGAGTGTTTCTATGAAGAACGGATGTCAAATTTTTTCAAATGCTTTTTCTGCCTCTGTTGAGATAAAAATTTGGTTTTTGTGTTTTAGTTTGTTGATATGAAGATTACATTGGTTGATTTTGAAGTGTTATACCAATATTGCATTATTGGGATCAACCCCACTTGGCCCCAATTTACTGTTCTTTCTGTATATTGCTGGATTTGATTTACTAAAATTTTGTTAAGAATTTTTACATCTATGTTCACAAGGGATATTCATCTATAGTTTTATTTCCTTGTAATGTCTTTCTGGTTTTGTTATCAGGGTAATGGTGGCTTTATACAATCAGTTGGGAAGTATAGGTCCCTTTTCTGTTTTCTAGAATTATTTTTTTTAGCAGAGTTGATGTTATTTCTTCCATGACTGGTTGATAGAATTATTGAATTTGTCTGGTCCTGAAGTTTTTTTCTGTGGAAAAGTTTTAACGGCAATTCTGTTTTCTTAGTAGATATAGGGATAAATAGGTTATCTATTTCTTTTTGAGTGAACTTTGGTCATTTGTTTCTTTCAATAAACTTGCCCTTATTATCTAAGTTTTCAAATGTATTGACATAGATTTGTTCATAATTATGTTAGCTTCTTAGGGTATTCATAACAAATTACCATAAACTGAGTGGCATAAAGCAACAGAAATTTAATGTCTCTCATTTGTGGAGCTAGAAGTCCAAAACCAAGGATCAGCAGGGTTGGCTCCTTCCAGAGGCTCTGAGAGGGAATCTGTCCCATGCCTCGCTCCTAGCTTCTGGTGATTGGCAGGAAGCCTTGGCGTTCCTTGGCTCTTAGGTGCTTCACTCCAATCTCTGCCTGTATCTTCACGCAACGTTCTCTGTGTGTCTCTCTGTGTCCAAATTTTCCTCTCATGTAAGGACACCAGTCATTGGATTTAGGGTCCACCCCAAGTCAGTATGACCTCCTCTTAACTAGATTACATCTTCAAAAACCCTGTGTCCAAATAAGGTCATATTTGCAGGTTCCAGGTAGACACGATTTTGGGGGGAATACTATTTAACTAATGCAATAATATTCCCTTGTCATCCTTTTAATAGCTGCAATAATGTCACTTCTCTCATTCATGATTTTAATAGTTTGTGACCTTTCTCTTTCTCTGTTTTTCTGATCAGTCTGGCTACAGGTTTAACAATATCATTTAATCTTTCTAAGGAACATCTTTTTGGTTTCATTGATTTATTTATACATATATATTTCTGTTTTCTGTGTTTCTATTTCTATTATTTTGTTTCTTCTACTTACTTTGGGTTTAATTTTTTCTTGTTTTCTGATATCTGAAGGTGGAAGCTGACTTCACTGATTTGAGACCTTTCTTCTTTTCTAATATAGGTATTTAGTGCTATAAATGTACTCTTAGTACTCCGTTAGTGGCGTCTTACAAATTTCGATATGTTGTTTTCATTTTCATCCAGTTCAGAATAATTTCCAATTTAACTTTTGATTTCTTTTGTTTCAAGTGTTATTGGAAGTATGTTACTTAATTTTCAGATATTTGAGAATTCTTTAGATATCTTTCTGTTACTGGTTTCTAAGATAATTCCTTTGTGATCAGAGAACAGACTTTGCATCTTTGCATCCTCTTAAATTTATACATACTTTGTTTTATGGTCCAGAATCTGGTTTATCTAAGTAAACGTTCTGAGCACACTGGAAAAGAATGTGCATCTGCTTTTGCTGCATGAAGCGTTTGTTGTATAA